GCTCCCACCCCTGACACTGTCACTGAGTGCTGCAGTGCTCCCACCCCGACACTGTCACTGAGTGCTGCTTACCATGAGGAACCCTGGAGGTACATTGGGAAAGACAGGATTGAAACCGAGGTTCAGCCTCTACATGCAGCAGATGTGGGTCACTTCCTTGCCTTCTACATTTGCCTCACTGGTTATCCTGGAGGGACCAGATGAGGGACCAGAGCAATTCCTCAAGTATGGTGGTTCCTACTGTATTATCAAGGAATTCTCCATTCACAGTTAATCTGTCCATTCCTCTAGCACTACTGGACTTCAAACAAAGAGAAAAAGCAAATGAAAGCAGGGGGCATATGACTTTACTTAACCACCCTCTAAAATTTGAGCCCAGTTCTAGGACAAGCCAGTCATAAAGCCAACAGTATTTAGGAAAGACAAAGACAAAGTACTTTCTACTTTTAAAAAATCTATCTAGTCTCAAATTTAAAGTCAACGCCAATTCACAGTGAAGATTACAAATTCATGAAGCCCAAGCCAAATAACAATTTTGAAATGTTATTAGGACATATTAGAAAACACACCAAAGTCCCTAAATATGCCAGACATTGTTGTAGATATTAAGGACACATCAGTAAATAAATGAGGTTAAAAAGAAGGAGGAGGAGGAGGAAAAGAAGGAAAGGGAGGAAGGGAGGGAGGGGAAGAGAGAGGGAAGGAGGGAGGGAGGGAGGAAGAAAATCTCTGTCTTCAAGAAGTGTATGTTGTGATAAAGATGGAGAAGGGGAAGGTAAAATAGATGCCATGTTAATAAACAGTTCATGTGTGCTGGGAAAGAGCAAAGCAGAAAACAGAAGAGGAAATGGTAGAGATGGTTCGGCCCAGGGGGTGGTCTGAGTAAAGATCACATGACAGAAAGCAGTGCATACTGTGGGCACCCTGGAGGAGCATCACAAACAGCAACAGCAAAGACAAAGAAATGGAGATGGAGACTTCCAAGAATGGCAACTAAGAAAGTCTTTGACAATTCTGTCCACCAGCCTCTAGGACGAATACAATGTCATCCATCAGGAGGACTAAGTGCAGTGGCAGCCATTAAGAGGACTAAGTGCACTGGCAGACATCAAGAGGACTTGGTGGCAGTGGTGGCCATCCACAGAACTATGTGCAGTGGCAGACATCAAGAGGGAGTGAAACAAAGAGGCTTCTATGGAGACTGAGTATGTATGGCGAAGAGTTTGGCCACTGAAGTGAGGGTATTGCTGCAGTATAAAGAGTCTGGCCACTGAAGTGAGGGTATTGCTACAGTATAAAGCCTTCGTACTGCCCCAGGTTGACACAAGTGGTCTGGTAAATATGAACTGTCAGGGGTTACTTAAGTGAGGACAGATTGAATTCAAGAGAGGCAGCAGCCTCTCTTCAAAGCATCTCCAGCTCCTTTATCACTTACTAGCATCATTGTTGAAAGATCTTAGGAAGGAAAAGAGAATAAATGAATCTCAGATTTAAATTGGAGTGATTTCCTCTGTTGCTTTAATGGCGAGCATTCTGTTCTAGCTAAGAGGATGTCTGTAACGTGAAGACAGCTAGGAAAGGCGTAGTGGCCGCCAGTTCTCAAAGTTCTTCACAGAAACACAACTGCATGGCTGTGGGAGAGCAAGAGAACAGCTTGGAGGCTATCAAGTCTGACATCTGCAGGACAAGCCAAGAGGTGGGAGATGGGAGAGCTGCTGATGCAAGCTTGGGCCTGGAAGGCAGTCTAAAGGGGTCGAGCTTTAGGCCTTTAGCTGACTGAAAGAAAATAGTGTGCTTTACTCAAGAAACGCAGTATCTGCTCCAACTATGCTGCCCAGGCTGGTCTTAAACTCCCAATCCTCGGGATCATCATGTGATGTGGGATTCCCCTCTGTGAGCTGTGAATGTGTTTTATTATCATTGGTTAATAAAGAAGCTGCTTGGGTCTGTGACGGGGCAGAATATAGTCAGGCTGGAGGAGATATGGCGAGAGAGTGGACAGAGTCAGGGAGATGCCATGTAGCCACCAGAGGAGAAAGACGTGTGAGTCACCAGCAGGAAACTTGCCTGTAGGCCACGAGTCTCGTGGTAAAATATAAAATAATAGAAATGGGTTAATTTAAGATATAAAAGCCAGCTAGAAATATGCATAATCTAATAGACCAAGCAGTAATTTAATTAATACAGTTTCTCTGTGATTATTTCGAGTCGGAGCAGCCAGGAAACAAACAGGCAGTCTCCAACAACAATCATGACTGGCACTTAATGTTCATTGTGTGTGTGTGTGTCTGTGTGTCTGTGTGTGTGTGTGTGTGTGTGTGTGTCTGTGTTTATACAAATACATATTTATATACCATCTCAGCATCTGAACTGGAAGTAGGTCTAGATGAATAGCAACAGAGTATAGTAGTTTAACAAAGCTCTTCCTGTTGGGAGGTGACAAGACAGCTATGCTTGTCTTGTGTCTTTTCTATTAGCACTTGTGCAAAAGACTACTGGCCACCATTATCATTGTCACCATCATTATTAACACTCATGTTTCTGTCACAGAGCAACTGTAATATCTTCACCGGTTTTAGGGACGATCAATGTAAGCACATGTAACCGAATTTGTACTTTGCATGGAACCTTTCATGATTTCTTTTTAGGTACAGTTCACATTGAAAAACTACCCATTCATTTCATCCAACAGCATCAAGCCAGTGGAAAAGGAAGCTCTACCAAATGAATACAGGAAGGAGAGAGTGATTACCTGGTATTTATGTACAATTCTGGTGTAGACAAAGTTTTTATCTATCTATGCTGGCCTCAAACATTCTACATTGGATGTTTGAGTTCAGAAGCATCCTTGCCAAGTACTTTATCTCAAAACAGTACTGGCTATAGATTAAAATCCCCTCCCCAAAGGACATAGGGTATAAGGAGAAGCAAAGAAAGTAGTAATAGTAGGTCTTACAAACATAAATATTTTCTAGAACATGGGGGGAGGGTAAAAGCCATAAACTTTGACAGATATTTTAATAAATGCAAAGTCTTCTCTTTGCTTTTGTTGGGGGATAATTTTGTTTGCTTGTCTGAGATAAGGTCTGACTATACAGCAAGCTTGGCTTCAAATTCATGACCCTGTCACTTTTTAAGTGACTATAAAGCACAATCTAGAACTGAATAAAGCAAGGCATGCATCTATGTATCTGTTTCAAAACTGAATGTTATTTACGCATTGAGATAGTAACATTATAACGATGAGTCACATTAAGGAGTGGAGATGACTGACTATCTGAAGTATATACTTTATTTTTAGTTGCAATTCTCAGTGAGAACTTACCATCTAATTGCTTATGTTCATTTCCCTCACTTAGAAGAAAACAGGCAGTGAGAACTGCTAATGTTATAGTCTAGACAGAGCAGCCGATGATACAACTGTCTAAAATGAAATTAAATATTGGATGGTTTTCAAAAGAAATGGGTTTAATATGGATTATTAAAAATCTGGGCTCTGAGAACAATCCAAAATAGGATGTAATGGCAATCACCAGTTGTGAATTCTATCATAGAAATAAACTTGTTATAATTACCAAAGAATCTACAATCAACAGAATACATAGCTCTTTATTCTGAGGCATCCCTCTGGTCCTATTATATTTGAAACCATCTACAAACTATTGTAAGCATAACTAAAACAAGATTTAAAACTTAAAAAAACTGAGCTGGGATATGGTTCAGTGATGAGTAGCATTTGCCCAGCATTCCAAGGCTAAACTGAAATAATGCAGAAAGTCGTCTCATGACCCAGAAATGGATCTGAAGTTAGTAGGGGACAGGGGAATACCAAGTACTTGGTAAATATCAACAGCCAATTAATTTTGTGCAAATTGTTTAATGTTTAAGCAAGATGTGCTTAGTCTAAGTTACATTACAGAAAGAACAGAAATACTGAGTAACAAGAGCTCATTGCAAATTTTGGGGAACTAAATACATGAGAGATAGCTCTGTAGACACTCTGATTCCAATTCTGAGTCTCAGTTTCCCCCAGCCTCCCCCAGCCTCCCCCAGCCTCCCCCAGCCTCCCCCAGCTAGAGATGGTAAGAGGCACAGCTCTGGACCACAAGAAAGAAATCTCTTGGCCAGCACCCCTTTTCTGACAACAGTGGACGTCTTAATGACTATTTCTCTTCTCCCACCTGTCCGTTCCCAACCTCTTTCTGCCTGGTACACCGATATGCTATCTGAAATTTAAGAGGTCAGTCTGTAGCCATGAAACAAAACACAAACAAAAAGAGGTGAAGTCCATGGTTTAAGGTATGAGAACCTGAAAGACAGAGCCTGAATTGCTAGTGGTGGGTCCTCCTCCAGATTTTATATACTACAAGAAAAATAACATCTGTCAGCTTGTGATTCTCAAGACGAATTTTCTTCTGCTTACAATCTCTGTTATACAATGAAATTAAAAAAATCATCCTAAAGTTCACTACACGTCTAAACAGAAGATGGACGTCAGCATAGCAGAAAATATAAAACATTTGGGTGAAGTCAGAAGACAAGAAGGATACAGACACACACATCAAACAAAATATATACTACAACAAAAAAATTTCAGTTCTATT